GAGAGCTTTGTGAACCCAGTTACTGGCACCCACACTCAGAATATTGAGTCGACGTGGAATACGTGCAAGTACAACATCAAGATGCACAAAGGCATTCTTGGTGTTAAACTGGATGAACTGTTGTGTGAGTTCATGTGGAAGCACAATACTGGGAAAAGAATGGGCTTGATAGCATTATTTGAGCTTCTTAGGATCCAATAAATCACTCTAATTCATGTTTTTATTTTTACTAAGAAAACTCCATGGGGAAAAAAAGGGACTTGATCTAAAACTCCATGGGGAAAAAAAGGGACCTTAAACTGAAATGGGGAAAAAAAGGGACTTGATCCGATAATTGGTGCAAGACTGGATAAAAGATGCCATGAGACAGGTTGCTTAAGACTGATCAATATTAATCTACCAATGTTTGATGGATTTGACACTTTTAATAAGAAGCAGCAATATGATATTGGGAAAGAGCAACAAACAGGCCAGGAAGATAAATTAAATCAGCTATAACTAACATTATTTAGCAAACAGGGTGAGTGTAATGATTCAGGAAAGAAGATGTGTTGGAAATAGAATAAATGTTTATGAAATTTTCAATGTTTTAGTGACATAAATGAACATGTTGAATGAATTGGTCACGATTAGGCGTTAGTTTATTGGATGAGGGTAGTTGGTATTCTATTTCTAATATACTGGAACGCCAGGTACTGTACGCCAGGTAATAAATACAACCCTTTTGTATTTTGTCAATTGATAATGGATGTGAATATACCATATTACTATGAACATTCTTAAATGATATGAGTGATGTTGTCGTATTGGACGATATAGGTGTTCTCATTAATTGTACATTTTGAAAGACTTGTTCGTCTTTTGACTTGATTATAAAGCAAACACTTGCTTTATTTTCATGATAATCTATTCCAATGCTATTTAATCGCAATAGTATCGTGTAACACAACAAAATACAGCAATAAAGTAACATGGGTTGAGTTTATTATGTTCGAATAAACCTGTTATTGATTTTCTAATTCAGTCCTCAGTTTAATTCTAAAGTAGTTGGAATATGCCACGTTTAGTTGTAACGCGTCCTTTGCTACAATCCAATAATACCAGTTGTTTTTCATCTCTCCTACCTTGATAAATATGTAGGTGTTTCTGTTTGTTTCTAATGGATATACTGTCGTAATGAGTATTGGTAGCTCATCTAGACCAGATGTACACCACACTTCACAAGTAACATGAGATGTTTCATGTTCAGATACCATTGCATCCTGTACTCTGAATTTGAATTCAACAAGCTGGGTGGCTTTATTAAATGATATCTTGCGAAGGATAATATTGTATGAGGCAATCAATCGGATAATAAATAAGAGCATAAATAGGGTATTTAACTTATGTTACTCAAATTGGATGATACCTGATCTAGCTTCATTATTCATGCCAATCCAATAATAGTGATCTTTTATGAAATACATTTCAGGTACAATCTCTGTATACATTGTATTGGTCCAGATGCTGTTGAATGTTTCTAGTTTAAACGGAATTCCTTGAAGAGTTTTCTTATAAAACAATGAAACTGTTCCAATGCACTTGCTACGATTTAGGTCATCGTAATCATTTATCATGAATCGCAGTTCCTTCGATGTATGTCCATCTGAACCTGGCGAATTACTGTTAAAGATGCCAAAAGATATGGTCAGTATGGCAGTCACACTATTCAATAGTAGCAATAGCATATTTAGGGTAACAAAATCATGGATATCAAAAAGTCAGTAACGATTAAATAACTTATATTGGCGTGAAAATGTGAATACGCAATACAATATATGTTGCTGTATTTGAATTCAGGGAACAGTAACTATTACTGGTTTGGGTGTCGTAATTTGATCAAAACCTTATTTTGCGTTAGCATCTTATGAATCTTATATGTATGTCATTTAGCTTGTTGAAACAGGAATATCTAATAATAATTTACTAATCAAATGCAGAGAGCCAATAATTGATTACATTTTCAGGAAATTTGTATTTTGCCACAATTACAGTGTATTTACAGTTGGTATAAATGTCATTAAATTCTGTTATCATGGTTATTGGAGTGCTTGTTGAGGAACAACACAACCAAACCTTGCTAAACAACCTAACATCTGTAGAATTCTCTTGATCAACGATCGTAAAAACCACCTTCTTGAATTCTTCCAATTCTCCATTCAAAGAAATAAAAGGTTGTATGGTTAATTCAGTTTCCAGGTGATCATTTGTGCTTCCAACCACTGTCAATACTCTTTCTAATAATCCAAGCAACATAATAAGGGTGTCAAAAACGATTTTTTATTATCAACTAAAAAATCAGTAAATGGTATGAAAAGGTGTTAAAAATATCTGTATATTTATCATCAATTGCGTATCTATAGTATCAAACAAATATATCACACATAAAATTCTCATAGCCAGATCAATTGTATAAAATATTTCAAGGTATTATACTATTTTGATCAGTTCTTTATATTACGCATAAACCATTTAAGAAAGAACAAACAAAGTATCCCTAATGGAAAACAAACAAATCACCATTTCAGACTACAGAAACAAAGAAGGCAACAGCAACAGAATTGTATCAAGCAGATACACGTTCTACAACTTCATTCCAAAGAACATCATACATCAACTATCTAAAACCAGTACTCTCTTCTTTAGCATCACACTGGTTCTATTATGCATTCCATCAATTTCCCCATTTGAGCCTTACTCATATGGCCTAGCATTCAGTGTCGTAATAGGAACATCAATGATCAAGGATGCCATAGAAGACTACAAGAGACACCAAGAAGACAACGAGGCAAATTCAAAGGAAGTTCATAGGCTTAAAATTCCAAACAGATCAAGCTTAAATCCCATAGAAAATAATACAAGCATAAAAGCAGAAGAAGACGTAGTTTGTGTAGAAAAATGTGGAAAAGGAGACCTGTTGGTCGTGTATGAGAATGAATTGGTACCAGCAGACGTAGTGATATTGAAGTGCTATACTGAGAAACCAATAGGACACTGCTACGTGGAAACAAGCAACCTGGATGGAGAAACAAACATCAAAAAAAAGTACAGTCTGGGACTATACGAGGAATGTGACAGTTGTAAAGCAAACAACAACTACTTGGAGGATGATTGTGTTACAAGAATGGGAAATGAAATCAAAACATTTGAATTAGAGGACACAGGTGAGACATTCACAGAATATTTCTGTAAAATTGGAATAAAAAGTGAAAATGGGGAATGGAACCACCGCTATGCGAACATAAAGAACACGATTCTGCGTGGATCAGTTCTAAAGAACACGAAGTTTGCTCTGTGTTTGGTTACAGCAGTGGGTTATTCAACCAAAATGAGCAAAAGCGTCAAAAAGACGGCCAAGGGGAAGTCGACCTTCGAGAAGCGCACCGAGACGATCATCTACAGCATCTTCCTCATCTACTTCTTCATGTGGCTGACTACGATATTCTACGCAATATTCAATCAGACCATTTCGGCCTATCTCAGTGATCTGGACATCGTCAAGTCGTTCTTCACGAACTACATCCTGTACACGTATCTGATTCCCCTGAGTCTCTTTGTGACCATTGAAATAGCCAGAATATTCCACGTCTATTTCATACAGTACGACAAAAAGATGGCTGTGATTCAGGATTCCAACGGATTCAGAAGCCCCACAGAAGCATCTGATCACCAAAACGAAGACGAAAACAGTCGAATTCAAACAGCTCGTTGTAGAAATTCCAGCGTAATAGAAGATCTCGGATTAATTGATTACATTTTGACTGATAAGACTGGGACACTAACAAATAATACAATGCACCTGAAAAAGTATTACATCAACAATGAACTCATAGACGTCGATGAGCACCTGAAATCAACCAATTTGGATACGCTGTTCATTCTGGGAATGTTGTTGTGTACGCAAGTTGACATTCTTGGTGATTCCTACGAAGGAATTTCACAGGAAGAAATCAGCATTTTAAACGCCCTGAAACGACATGGAATAATTTTGAAGGAGAAGATTGAGAACAAAATGACAATCAAAGTAAAAGAGGAAGAATGCACCATAGAAATAGCAGAGATGCTCGAATTCAGCAGTGCCAGACAAAGACAGAGCATTATTGTAAATATAGGCAAAGACGACCTGATCAAAATTGATCAGAATTTAAACGGTGGTCTAAAGTTACCAGAATCAACTGGTGATAAAATTGCACTACTTTTTTCAAAAGGAAGTGAACAGAAACTGCTTCGAAATCACGCGAACATTTACACGGGGCAGGACAGAGATTTAGTAAAGAAACACATTGGTGAAAATGTGGTACAAAAGGAAGACAAGGACGAAACGATGATATCACTGCATCTACGGAACAAGGATCACTACAAAAGACACATTGAACAGTTGAACAGAAACACAGAATACAGGGCATTGGTGTATGGATTCAAATTATTGGGAAAGTTTGATGAGAAGAGACAGGCTGAGGATGCAAAGGAGAAGATGTTTAGTGCAATGGAGTTTGGACTTGATATGATTGGTGCCACTCTGATTGAGGATACGCTACAAGAAGGAGTAGAAGATGCGATTGGTGATTTGAAGGAGAATGGAATCAAAATATGGATGATAACAGGAGACAAGAAGGAAACAGCGGTAACCTGTGCCCTAAAGAGCAGAATTGTGGAAGATGAATCGTATTTACCAATAGTAGGGCGGGAACTAGTTCAATTGCTAAAAGAGGAAATCAGGTTGATGAATTCAGCCCGAAATGACTCAACACACTACAACCTGTTTAAGTTTGGTGCTGTGATTGTCTACAGAGCCACTCCATCTCAAAAGGGGCAGATTGTCTCGTGCCTGAAGCAGCTCAATCACAGTTGTCTTGCAATTGGAGACGGAAACAACGACGTGGCAATGCTACGAGACGCAAATGTCGGTGTTGGAATTGTTGGAAAAGAAGGAAACCAGGCGGCATTGAACTCTGATTTCGCAATCTACAGATTCAAGGACTTGCGGAGATTGGTGATTTACTACGGTGATACAATATTGATCAGATTTGCAAAGCTAACACTCAACTCGTTCTACAAGAACCTGTACTTCATTCTGCTGCAATATTTCTACAACTTCTACAATGTTGGCACTGGATTCCCAATTTACAATGACATCTTCCTGAACTACTTCAACACATTCTACACGAGTTTGATTCCAATCAGCGTGGTGCTCTTTGATAAGCGAAACATCGATTACACGACGTACAAAATGGCACGATGCTACTTCACAAGGGGAGTGATCAATCTCAACTTGTTCTACGCATTTGGACAGGCTGTGATCTGCTTTGCCCTCTTCAGGCTGTTTCTTGCAAAGGGCCTAAGCAACAACCTGGGCCTAATGGGCGGATACGGGGCTGAATCACAGTTGATCAGCCTGATTGTCTTTTTCACCGTGATAATCAGACAAATCAGACAGATCTCATTCTACAACCTGTTTAACACGGTTGCCATCCTCATCTCAGTCTGCTTTGCCGTTGGTGTCCAGTTTCTGGCCCAAAAGATGCCATTCATCACAAACTCGTTCTTTGGAATTGATTCGTTCAATAAGCTGCTTACAATCCCAGTTGGATACCTGATGTTCTTCAACCTGATCAGTGCCATGTACCTGATGGACGTGCTATTCGAGTACATTCAGCAAACAATGATATTCAGGGAGTACACCGAAATCAAAGAGAGACAGGTTGAGGAGAAGCAGAGCAACAAAATGTGATTTAGACGAGTTCTGTTGCCCGTGGCTCAAACTCCTTGTGTACTTTTATCAGGCGAATCAGAAGCAGCAAATAGGCCACTGCTCCAAATGCAAAATTGACCAAATCTTCTGAGGCAACTGGGCTCATCACATTCAGAAATGATATTATCACGCCTACTGTCAGAAATGAGCAAAAGAAGATCGTGTCTCCCCTTGTGAGGCCAATTGACGTGATTGCGGTTGTGAGGGTGTATCTGAGATAGACTTCAGTCATGTTGAATGGAACTCTACCAAAAGAATGCAGTTTCATTGTGTACAGAATCACCAGAAATACAAAATTGTACAGGTTGATTGCGGTGAAAACAGCCTTGGTCTGTTTTGGTGCTCCTGTTTTCTTGATGCTTCGAAGAAGCAGCAGGAGCAGAACGGCAACCAGGAGCAGCATGTTGTTGCAGAGGGTGGTGCTACTGGCATTCAGCACTATCAGTGGCAGCACCAGTGTGTTTGTAACCGATATGAAAATTACGATGTCCAATTTCGATAGCGGATTTTTCACCATGGGATACCAGACAAAGTCAGTGATAAAATGCCCCTATGGCCCCAATTGACAGCAACTTCTTCGTCGAATTGGAGTACGAATCAGCAGAGACAGAGGAGAATGAGATCGAGAACGTGTTCCAGGACGTCCATTACGCAACGAGCAAGGAGAGCGTGGACTACGTGGAGAGGCTGAAGCAGGAACGAGCTGAAGTCGAAAAGATGCTTAAATGATGTTTAGTATTTGTTTGTTGTATTTTATGCAAACTACCCCATGTTTTATTTCATTGCCACGAAGAAATACGACAAGCAGAACAGGGCACTGCTGAAGGAGACGAATGGGAGATCGAATACGCGGATTAAGGACAACCTGATGCGTGATGTCGACTACGTCGTCTTCACTCCTGAGGAATGGGCACAAATCAAGGGTGAATACGACATTGAGATAAAAATGGATAAAATCTACCACTGTACAATTGAACTACGAGGATTCACTGAAATATGTCTAAATAACATTAGAAAGGATGAATTAACTACAGACATAAACAACAATACGAGCCAAACAAATGGAGCAGAACAGGTGTTGAGCAAGACCATTGTGATTTACGGCATTGAGACAGTCTACGAGGCCGTATTGAAGGTGTTCATGAATCCATCCACCAAAATGGACAAATTCAACAGGGAATACAAGGTTGAATTGGGTCAGACTGAAATAGACATCAAAAGCAGGTTTGACGACTTAGCAGCAAACTACGGCAACTTTGAAGGAGACAGGTGCATTCTAATAGTCCACAAGAGGAGTAACACGACCAATACGATGGTAGTGAACACGAATGCGGTAACAGGAATACCAAACTTAGGCAACACCTGTTTCATGAATAGCAGCATCCAGTGCCTACTGAATTGCGACGAATTGAACACTGCCATTTTGAAGACGAAGCCAAATGAAAACAGGTACAAGAAGGTTGTTGAGGAGTACAAGCAGGTTGTACGAGACCACTGTAGCAGAGACAGCGGCCTCCTCTGCGTTGCCTCGTTGAAACGAGAAGTTGGCAGACTGAATCCAACATTTTCTGGTTTTGATGAACAGGATGCCCCTGAATTCATTATAGCACTTCTGAGCATGCTTCACGATGGAACACTCTGCGACAAGACCGTTGATGTTGAACGAGTTCTTGATACTTCTGAATACGATAGTGCTCTCTCTGGGATATTCAGCTGCAAGCACTCAATCAGAATACGCTGTTCTAAGTGTGGGGTTGTATCCAATAAGCAAGAAATAAGCACACTTTTGAGTCTACCAATTCCAAATGAGACAGTTCAAATAGTATTGAGCATCAGGGACGCATTCAGAATAATACGCAGTGATACGGTAGCAGATGCAAAGGAGATGGCAAGGAAGATAGTTGGAGACGATGAAACAGGGGATGACGTCATCTACGTCGTGACATTCTACAGGAATAACAGCTTCAACTCGATAGTCCAGGGAAACAGGCTGAATAAGAACAGTGGTGGCTACTACATCCTGTACAAGTTGGTCAATAGCTCAGCAAATGTGCTGTGTAAGACGTACTACAGGACGATGCTCTGGCTGGTCTACTCAAAGATGTCATTTGATTTCATGGTCAAAATAGAAACAAAGAAGTACAGCGTAAACGAGTTCAAGGACGCAATTGTGGCTGGATTATACAAGGAGTGTGCTGGACTGCTCCTTCCAGGAGTGACATTGAGTAAGTTTGGGACACACGTGACTGTTGAGCTGGCCAATGACATCAGTAACACGGTCATAGACAGAAAGATAGCAAGTTGTGAGGTCTATTTCGTGCGACTGGCTGAGATATTCGGAAACAACCTGAAGTTGAATGATGCCATTCACGTTGAAGACTGCGTGGCTGAGTACCTGAAGGAGGGGCCAATCAACTTCAGTCACCAGGCAAAAGGTGAAAGTGATGGATGTCAGGGAGAGTGTTCTATTAGTACAGCAATAGAGAGTACTCCACCATACATGTTCATAACACTGAAGCGATTCACATCAACTGGAACCAAAATCAACACATTCGTGGACTTCAGGGAGAGACTCCTCATCAATGGAGTGGCCTACGAATTGGTAGGCGTAGTCTGCCACTTCAAAATAGGCATCTTCTACGGTCACTACGTCAGTTACGTGAAGAAGGGTGACTCCTGGTACTGTTGCAATGACAGTGTGGTGAGCAGGGGGAAAGTGGAGAAGAAGACAGCCTACGTCTTTCTGTACAGGCGGGTATAAAAATGCATCAACCGGGAATCGAACCCGGGTCTTCAGCTTGGAAGGCTAATATCATACCATTAGAACATTGATGCTTAAAGATGCAAGTTGATGCCATTATATACCACTCAGTCAGATTAGTCTGATTCCAATGAATGTCAGCAGTGCAACCACACCCGTCCAAACCAGGATAGGGGACTTCTCATTTGTTGCAGTTTCAGTCATCTTTCTCTGTGACTCAGATCCACCAAAATGATCCACTATTCGGTCCAATCCCCTTCTCATTGCCATACTCTCCTCTAACACCATAAATTCCATTTTGATTCCAATTTCATTCTTCATGAATTCAACAGTGTCTGTTTTATTGATGTGGTTTATGAATACCATGGGGCAGATTGTGCTTGTTCTACTTCTCATGCTCTTCAAATCTATTTTCACTATCAAAGCACTGTATTTCTCATCACACCCTAAGAAAGAGTAGTTCACCTGATTTCCATCAACCTGTTTCCCCCACAATACGGTATCATCCACTGCCAGTATTCTAAGTGTCTTATTGTTCAATTTCACCAGGTAAATTCTATTTATTTTCTGGGCTATTTTGGTGTAATATTCCACCATTTCATGGTAATCAAACTGAGTTGTCTTATTCTGTATTCTTATTCTATCGTCTTCTATGAACACCTTCAGACAGTTGCAGCAATCTACGTCTGCAACCAACTTGAGCTGATTCTGTTTTCTATCTCGTATTCTGGTTAGCAGAGTTCCAATGAATGAGACTGGCTTCTGCTCATTTTGTTCCATTTCAGTGAATTTCACTTCACAATTGCACCACTGGTAGAAGCAGTTGGATTTGTAGCTGTTTTCACAGATGCATTTGGTGGAGTAGTCCAACATTGATTATTTGTTATTCAGCAGTGAATTATCAGAGACAGGTGAAACTGATCAAATGAAATTGTATTTCTTGCCATCGTATTCTATGAATTCCTTCTTGGTGAATTCATCCAATATACTACTGATATCATCAATATCAGGTAGGGCTGCCTCTATTTGCTTCTTTGTTGCCGACTTTCTTATTTTGATGAATCGCATTACTTTGGCCTGATCTACAGGGTGTTTGCTGCTTTCCAATAAACTGGTTGTTTGTTTGACTTCCTTGAATTCAACTGGTTTGAATAAATCAATATGTGATGCATCCGTATCATTTTGGCTGATTGATATCATGGATGAGTTATTGGTGATGATTTGGTTATCAATCAGCATATTGATGTATTGATCAAATGAATCAGAATTCATTGCTGTTTTGAAGAGTAGGGCATCGTAGCTGATTTCACCAGCATTCTCAATACACTTCAGAATATTCAAACCAATGATATCAATGCGTATTGTTCTTCTATTGATCAGGATAGTGGCATTGGACAGGTTGTATATTGGTGTCAACTTCTCTTTGCTATGGGCTATCTGTTTTACCAATGCAATATTAATCTGGTTACTGATATCCTGGTCCAATTTGACTGGTATTTTGTTGTCTAATTTGATGAAGAAGTCTACGATTTTGATGACTTTGAACTTGTCAATTCTGTTTGTTTTGAATGATTCAAATATTCTGATGAACATCGACTTCTTCTCACCATTGATCAGTCTTATGAATCTCTCTTCCTTCTCGTAGTTGTCATCCTTCTTTCTTATCAAACTGATCATGAATTTGATCACAAATGACTCAGTCAGGTCAAACTGGTCCAATGTCAAACTGACGAAGTCAACCACGTATTGTGGGTTTTTGATTCTGTCAAGCAGCTCCAACAAAATGTAGAATGGCATCTCTACATCACAGAGTGAACTAGAATTCTTGCTGAACTGCTCTTCTACTGCTACTTTCAGCATTGCTGTATGATGCTTCAGTTTGTTACTTTGCAATTTGTCACGTATCACCAGAAATGTATGAAATGTGTCAAGAACACTCATTTTGTCAGGATCGCTTCTTAGTCTCCTACACATTCGACTGATTGTTCTGTTTTCTTCATCCACGAAGTTGTATTTTGTGAAATTGTTGTTTAAAAATGCATCAGTCAAAAATGACTGGAATGTCTTTTCAAATGTCTTCTTGTGTGATGATTCGTAGTACGAAATGATCACATTCAGCTTCTTGATTTCTGGTCTGGTTTCATTGGAGTTATAAATTGCAATCATATAGTGCCTGAAGACTGATTCAAAGCAAATGGACTTATCAGATATCAATTTGCAGACGTATGAATCAAATAGAATGTGTGCAAATATCAGTTCATCATAGAAGATGGTGATTAAGTGCTCAGCCAGGGCAATTTGGTCTGATTTAGACTGTTTCATGAAGACAGACTCCTTGATCAGGCCACCGTGGGTGAAAGTGGATGCGTATGGTGGAGCAAAGAAGAGCATTTTGAATTCATCAGAATCAAGGCTCCTTACGTAACTCTCAGTCATCACCTTAACTTCTTTCATTGCGTCATTCTTTTCAAGAATTTTGAAGATGGTTTTTGCCATGTGCATGAGATCCTGTTTGTAGGCGTATTCTGAATTTGGTGATCTGAGTGTTACGATCTCAGTCATTATTTGATTGAGATACGTCTCAAAATGGTATTTTAGATGATTCTCGTAGACTCTGACGTAGAAGACCTGGACGACATCGTCGTTACGTGTGTATTTGACGTAGAATCTATTGATCATCCTAAATGCAGCATATATGAAATGTGCTATTCTTTCCAACTTGTAGAAGTTGGTAAAGTTGAACTTCGTGTCTTTACAGCGGATTTCTTTGGTGAATGTGTCAAGAAGACTGCAGATTGTGGTGTAGATTTCCTCGCCCTTGATTGTTACATCTGGGTTGTCATCAGTGGTGCAATAGAAGTAGAGTGTGTTGTAGATGGCCTGGAACTCATTCAAATCCACGGATCCAGTCGTAAACAGTTCAACGAGGTAGCTTTCAACCACTTCCTTTGGATCTGTTGTTTTATTCTTCTTTACTGTTTGCATAAAATGGGTATGAAAATAAAAGCGATTTAAGCTTAATTTTATCATGCTTACAAAAACCTTATTTTTATGGTCTCTCTTACATCACATCCCAGTATTCCTTGTACTCTCACAAGGACTTCCATCTTTGCTACGCCCCTCATTTCTGGTAGTTGGACCTTAATTGGCTCGTTTCTGGGATTGTTCAAGTAAATTTCCTTTCCAAACATTGTGTTATTCAATTTGCAAGTTACTTCCAATCCAAATGGCACTGGCTTGTTGTAGAATGGGGCGTGTATCATCTCATAGTCCCCTACTGTTTCAATCTCGAATGAGACGTACACATTCGTATCTTTATCAACCTTAAAGAACTTGTTTTCCATTTCGACCTTATCGTAATTTGTTGTATTCTCGTCATTTAGTAGTTTTTCGTCGTATGTGAATGCCTTGAGCATGTTTACTCGTATTTTTGGCTCTGATGCTCGTAGTTTCTTTGCACTTGCTACATCATCTGCGCTTAGACAGTTCTGTTTTCCTAAGAATTCTTCCAATGGCTCTTTTGTTGCATCAAACACGGCCACTTTCTCCAACAAATCCAAATTGTTTTCAATTGGTAGTATTTGCATAGTTACAAACTCAGGTAGCAGTATACGCTGGTAGAAGACACGCTTTGTGTCACATACCACGTCATAGAGCTCCTTATTTCTGTAGAATGCAATATCCTGGTAGTTGTCCAATATTCTTATGGCTGTATGTTGCGTAAAGACCTGCTCCTCCTCTGTTGCCTTGTTTGTTCTACATAGGAAGTCTGTGATGTGCAAGAACTCGTTTGTTTCACAGAAGAGCGGCATTCTTCCAACATCTTCCAATGCCTTTCTATAGAAATCCTTATGTGAAGTCAAATCTGTTTTATAGGCATTTTTCAAATCTGCTGCTTCTGAAATAAAAACAAGCAGTTCGTAGAATGCGCTCTTCTTGTATTCTGTTCTAATTCCACCACACTCTTCATAGAACCTATCCACTGTCACGTATTCCGCCCCCTTTGACGTCTTTGATCCTGTTTTCCTGATAAATGCGTATATTATTCCTGGAATCACCACAGCCAGAAAGAGCACGTAGAGTGAGAAGGAGGTGACTCCAAAGTCAACGATGAACTTTGGCATTGCCACAAACAACTCACTCTTTGTTTGTGAATCAATGAAATTCTGATAATTCACTGGATCCTTAATCAGGTCAAATGCCTTGTTCAATACCATTATCTGCTTTTCAGCCTCTTTCTTTTGGTCCTCGTGCTTTGCCTGCTGATACAGCGGCCTAAGCATCTTCTTATACATCTTTTTTGCCTTCTTTATTGACGTATCCTCGTCTATTCCCAGAACAGCATATGGATTGAATACGTCAATCTTGTGCTTCAATTTCATCGTGAATACGTTTCTAACCAGCACTGCCACAACCAGAGCCAGAATACTGAGCCATATCCATCCACTCAGATTCCTTGCCTTTGTTTTGTTTGCCTTGCATCTCCTGCAATTGCACTCGTAGATCTTCTTTGGAGCCAGAGTTCTGTACAATCTGTGGATGAAGAGAGGTAGAACAATCGTAAGCAGCACGAAACTCGTAGCCAACCCGCTGTCGTCGTACTTGTGCTCAAACATTTGGGGCTAATAAATTGTTAGGCTGAATGAGTACGAAACTGCTTCAAAATCAGATTGAATTCTGCCTAGAAATTCAGACTGCCTTTTGGCCAAATTGCCCTGTAAAAAATTCTCACAATTTTTACCCAAATGACTGACCGAAAAGGAACTCGCTCGTATCAGAGAAACTTCAAGATCAAACGAAGGAGAAGAAGAGAGGGAAAGACGGACTACAAGCAGCGAGTGAACATGCTCAGACAGGACGTGAACAAGTTCGGAGCAATGAAGAGCAGACTGGTCGTACGAATCACCAATACCAAGGTGATATGCCAGATAATCAAGGCCCACATGGATGGAGATCGTGTCGTAGCACAGGCTGATTCGACTGAGTTGAAGAACTTTGGTGTCACCTTTGGCCTAACTAACTATTTTGCAGCTTATGCAACAGGAATGCTCTGTGGAAGAAGGGCTCTTGCAGCCAATGACCTGGATAAGCAGTTTGTGACTAAAACAGACGTAGGCGCATTCGAGGAGACTGAGAGTCCAATTGAAGAAAGACGCGCCTACAAGGTGTTTCTGGATATCGGGCTGGCCAGGGCCACGAAGGGTGCAAAAGTTTTCATTGCGATGAAGGGTGCATCCGATTCAGGGCTCTTTATCCCTCATTCGCCTTCTAAATTTGTAGGGTGGGATGGAGAAGACCTACAGGCTGAGGAATTGGCAAACAGAATTTTTATGAAGGAGAACTGTTCGTACATGGAGCACCTGAAGGAGAATGACGAGGAGAAGTACAAGTTGCAGTTTGGTGGATACGTGGCAAAGAAGATTGAGCCAGGATCCATCGAGGCCATTTACAAGAATGCATTGAAGAAGATTGGAGCAGAAGGAGCAAAGGAGGAGAAGAAGAAGAAGGTGGAGTACAGTGGCAAGAAGTACGAGAACAAGAAGAAGATTTCACTAGCAGAGAGGAAGGAGAGAGTTGCAGCAAGGCTGGCTGAAGAATGAGCCAATAAATATTTTCGGCAATTTTTTCCCAGTAATGACAACTTCCTTCAAGCGTATCCTTAAGATATTCGATCCGGCATTTAAGAGCATCAAGACGTACTTGGTGGCGCATTCTAAGATTGAGATTGGCGCAGACGAGACGTGTGACATCCAAATAAACTTGCCGTTTCTGGAGGATCTTCGTCTCACTCTTGAAATGGACCAGAATAAGCTTATTGTGCATAAACACACTGGTGAGTCATCCACACATCGACTACGACCAGAAGAGATATTCAGAATCCATTCTGTCTACTTCTACTACACGCAGATGAGCACAGACCGATTCAAGACATTTGATTCTGATGCCGAAATGGTTCAAAAAGACAAGGCTATCAGCAACATCGTGAATGGGATGCCAAAGCAGGCAAAGCGGACGATGTCGTACATAAATGAGGCAGGGAAGCTGGTTACAGTTGACCTGAAGAGCTGTCTCTACCACAAGAAGGACGAAGAAGCCAATAGCCATACGAATGAGACAACCAGCAACAGACAGACGAGTAGCGAGACGAATAAGGAGAACAGCCTGGTTTCCAGCAAGAATACCAAGGAGACAGAGGAGGCCAATGAGCCAGATCCTGTCAAAAGGAAGAAGATGAGTGTCAAAAAGAAGTAGTTTATTTGCTATCATGTGCATAAATAAAGCAAACAAATTTGCCCATCGATGCTACAGAACGAGAACTCTGAGTCTGCGACTGCCTGCAGCACTGAATCTGATCGAGAAGTGCAACGAAGGAAGCAGGAGGAGATTCGGGCACTGACTGCTGCGAAAGCAGAGAGCATGTCCAAGTTCAGGAGAATGTACGAGAAACAGATTGATACTCAGGCCAGAGACATAGTCAGTCACTACAGAAGAAGCACCCGTGATGAGTTACAAAACAGTAAGAAATAGGATGGTTCTATCAGTCAAATACCTAGTTACATTAATCAATTCAGTCATTTATTCTACTCCACTTTCTTCCTCCTGGTTATCAAAGTATTTGCTGAAATTGCTGTAAACTGGTCTTCTAACAACTTCCTTGCTTCCACCATCTTCAACCTGAATCTCCACTTTGCTAATCAGCCTGTTTCGTGGTGCCAAATACGAGTGTGTGAAACCAGCCTTCTTTTCAATCTTATTTTCCAGTGCTCCCTGTTGCACCATTTTCTGAACTATTTTCACCAGTGTCTCCTTTGAGACTCTTTTTCCATTTCCAACCAGATTTCTATTGCTCATTTTTGATGACAATTCAGCCGTCTTCTTGTTCTTGGATCCCCTGTACAAATCAACCAGCTGAATCAACGTAGCGTATCCACCACGATTCAGATCACGAAGCAGACTGTGCATCTCCTTGGCCTCTTTCGTGTAGTCTGCGAATGTCCCTTTTTTGTTTCTGGCACAGTTGTCACACGTCTCCTTGCAATTTGCTGAATCAAACTCCTCATTGAAGTGTTTCAGTACCAATTTGCGCCTACATTCCACCTTGTTATCGCAATATTGAACCACATTGAACAATTCCTGTTTCTGCCTGCTTTTCTGGGCTGGTGTACTGTTATACGACTTATTGATCAGAAACTCGTGTATCTTGGTGTCACCATACGAGTAGTAGAGGAGACAGGTGCTCTCGAGCCCATCTCTTCCAGCTCGCCCTGTTTCCTGGTAGTAGCCTTCTAGTGATTTGGGCAAGGAGTAATGGATCACAAATCGGACATCAGCCTTATCAATTCCCATTCCAAATGCAATGGTGGCCGTGATGATGTTGTACGTTCCATCATTCCATTGCTCCTGTACACGCATTCGCTCCTTCTTTGATAGTCCAGCGTGGTAGTAGGTGATTCTGAGATCATTCGATAACTCATCTGCTATTTTCTCACACTCTTTTTTACTGGTGCAGTAGATGATTCCAGGGCTGTCTGCGTAGTGCGAATTCACGAAGGTGACGATGTCGATTTTGGTTGATTTTGTTTTAGGCAGAATTTTGTAGACCAAATTTGGTCGATTGAAACTGGAGCGAAATGTGACGCATCTTCTGATTCCAAGGAGATCGACGATGTCACGTTCCACCTTTTCAGTCGCAGTGGCAGTCAGTGCGATTATTGGAACTGTTGGATATGCTGATCTCAGCTGATCAAGTGCCTTGTAGTCAGGTCTGAAGTCGTGGCCCCATTGTGAGACACAGTGGGCTTCATCTACGACAAATCGGGCGAGTCTGCCCATTTGGTGCAACAATTTCATCAGTTCCTGAAATCGACCAGAATTATTCAGCAATTCAGGCGTAACGTAGAGCAACTTGATCACATTCGACTTCTCAACTGTTCTGATGATCAGTTCTCGTTCAGAAGGCGTACAGTTTGAGTTCAGGGCAGCGGCTGGGATGTTTTTGTTCAGGAGACCAGTGATCTGATCCTGAATCAGACTGAGAAGCGGTGATATCACGAGGGTGATGCCATCTTTGATCAGGGCTGGTAGCTGGTAGCAGAGTGATTTGCCACCACCAGTTGGCATCAGAACAAACAGGTCTTTGTTTTGGAGACTCTCTTCGATGATTTCTTCCTGATTTTGTCTGAATTCGTCAAGGCTGAAGACACTGTGCAAATAGAACGACTGAATGTTTCGATGCTCTTTGATTTTCTGGGTGTTGAGGCCGCTATTGTTCTCAAGGGCCTGGTCGTTCGTCGTGGACGTGTTGATTTTGTACAGGGTGTTTGGCACCTTTAGATTCGTGTCTTCGTTTATTGCAACATATTGAGTGGAGCTGATAATTCGTATATCACTGCTGCTCTCTTCAACTGGTCTGTTCTTCTCCTTCAGATACTTGTTGATGACTTCTTTTGCTTCTGTAGCACTCTTCTTTGCTTCTTTATTCAGCATGAAATTGGTATTTTCTATTTTGTTTGTGATATTAAACTTATTTGATGCATAAAGAGTCTTAGACAAATTTGAGATGCTCAGGTCATCGAGTGTGAATTCATCAGGTTGTTTCATTGCCACATCCTCTTCACTGCTTCTCTTTTCGATTATTATTTCGTCTGATGCTTCATCAAGTGAGAAGTTGTCTTCTACGACAATTTCACTTGAAATCTCCTTCTTTTGACTCTCTGACGAAATACCGAAACTTGTTTCCTCTTCGTCCATTTTTGCTCTTTTTCCATCTTCTACGACCACTTCTCTCTCGTATCTATTTCCTTTGACACTGCTAGTTCCATCACAATACGTGTCATAGTCTTTTTCCTCCTTGTAATTCAATAATGGCGCCTGTCTCAATGATACGTCATCCATTATCATACTTTCGTCTTTTGATAATGAATAATATGTTAAACCATCCTTCAAACACGCTTCTCTATTTGCTACAAACGTATCTTCGTCTATTTCCTCCTCATTGCTTATTGTTAGACTTGTTGCAATAATTCTTCTTGGCCCCTTGTTTTCTGAGTGACCTGTGTAAGTTGATCCAAAGCACTGCTGTGCCAAAACAGACTTCTTTTTATCCTCTTTCATTTCATCCTTTGCATAAAGCTGCTTTTTATTCGTTACCACCCGATTTGGATCTGTTGCAATTTCATTCGTATTGAAATCAGCAAATGACTCCTCCCAGCTCTGTTCAAACTCCTTTATACTCTCATTCACCATTTTACTTGTTTTTATAAAGACATCCTCATTCTCCAAGGTGTATTTTCTATCCTTATTTTTCATACGGCTAAATTTATACAAAAATATCAGCACATTTCTGGTTTACTGAGTTGTGAATTATCGGAAAGTACCGTTTGAATCGGCTGGAAATACGTCTCCATCTGTAAAATATGTTTCACTCTCTTCCCGCATATCAGATAATTCAACATTCTCCCTGTACATAATTTTAGTATTTTCATCAATTAAATCGAGCTCCACACACTCATCACTCTCCACAACGTAGCATTTCTCTATTTCTGGTCGTCTTATTCTTCTTTTGACTGGCGTATTGTTCACAATCTCAGCCAACTGCACTTTCTGCTCATCAGGATTCGTGTTAGTCATTTTAGGAGGGTGATTTATCCAATTCAACTTCACCAACTTCACTTGACCAATTTATTCAAAGTTCCTCCTTTTCCTCGTCTTCCTCCTTTTTCTCATCCTCCTACAATTTCTTATCCTGTTGCTTCTCCTTCGATTGCTCGAGTATCTGTTTCATTTGATCAACCAGGTTCTCTGACTCCTCCTTCTTCTTCTCACGATATTCAGCCATCTTTGAGTGAATCTTCCTCACATGCACATTAACGAACTTGTTCACTTTTGCAGCTCCAGAACGTGCCTTCTTCACGACCTTGTTCTTTACTGCTACGCTCTTCTTGTACAGATTGCTGCTTACTCTACGTAGGTCTTCGCTTGCTACGTTACCCAAATGGCGTATTCGTGGCATTATTTCACTGAAAGCACACATTGCTATTCCCACAATACACAAAATATTCATGGGGTGAATTGGCTGACTGGTTGAAGTAGCCTGAAAATACCCCTTCAATGATTCAAAGCAGAATGACTGAATTCCACGAATACGTTGGTTTATCAGGGCAAAAGAGTATGGTTGAACACGAACCAAGATTCTACGAGGAATTGTACGACAAAATTGAGAGACTGGAGCTGTTGGTTGAAGACAGCAGCTCGTACAGGAACTTCCTTGTTTTGGATGAGAAACTGGTTGAGATGCAGAAGGAGGTGCAGTCTCTGGACACCATTGAAATTGAGGGGTTTGAGGAAGAGTACGAGGGAATCAAGTACATTTTGAAGCACAAGGTGTACGGAATAAAGCAGATGATAAACAGGAAGAAGATTGGGGAGAGAGACGAGGTAGCAGGAGAGAGACACGAGGAGTATGGGATTGAGAATGAGACAAATGTGGAAGGGGAGATGAAGAAGCATTTTACGCAGGAGGAGTTGGAACAGGTTGAAATGGAAAACAGGCAAATTGTAGAGGGAAAGGAGTATGAGACAACCAGAAAGAGAATAAAGCAGATAAATGAGGTACAGAAGGCAATAAATGAGCAGCTGATTGTGCAGAATGAGCGCATTGATGACGTGTGTGAGACAACGAAGGAAACAAAGAAGACGTACTTGGATTTGAACCGAATACAGTTTGATGGAGCAGGAAGCATCTTCAAGAGGTTTCTGGCCAAATTCATCCTACTTGTGGCACTCTTCCTCTTGTTCAAGCACTACCTGAATCGATAAAGTAGACTGTTATTGAGTCTTACTTATCCAGTACAGAATAGATCTTTATCCTTGTTGGTCCAGTGGTTAGGATGTCTGATTCTCACTCAGGCGGCTCGGGTTCGATTCCCGGACGAGGAATTTTTGCTGTCAAATTGGTGGGCCCTTTTACCCCATGTCAAATGCCTCTCTTGAAATGGTAGAAGAAGTACCAAAATGCAAGATATGCCACGAGGAGCAGGAGGACGTGGAGCCACTCTTCCACCCGTGCAAGTGCAAGGGATCCATGAAGTTCATCCACGACACGTGTCTCAGAGAGTGGATCAAGGGATCAAAGGAGCCATCTTGTGGAATATGCGGGCATAAATTCACATTTAAGTCTGTTTACAAAGAAAACACCCCAAAGAGACTCCCAGCCTAGCTTGTTTGCAAGGACGCAGCCATTGAGATCTACAGAAGTCTCAGACACGTTCTGTATCTGATTGTGTTCTGGTTGAAGTGCATTGGAATCTACGTCGTGAACTACCTGGCTGCCAGTGGCCGCAACTTCAGCACACAGGCACTGAACATGGCCATGTTCTTCTCGCTCAACTTTCTCCTCTACTTCCTCTTTGTTCAGGTCAACAAGATGCTCATGCGCTATTTCGACCTGAGAAGAAACTACGCATTTCGAATCAACGCAACTGATGCAATTCAGAGCACCAATTCAACTGTTTCAATGGCAACAGGTGTCCAATTACGCAATTCATCAAATGAGACAGAAAGTGAATCAGATGCTGGTGAACCAGTTGAGACTGAGATCACCATTTTGTACAGCTACGTCTTTGAACCATTCAACATCCTCAAAAACATCAAAATGGCCCTGATGACATGCACAGTCGCATCCACGGTCATTGTTCTGCGTCTAATTGATCTGTTGATCAGTAGAATCAATATCAGTACAGCAAAATTAGCCAAATTCAACAGATCCAAAATGGGCCTGTTTCTGAACCACTACGCATTCTCCCACATTTCCGAATATGTCGATTTCCTGAAAGAGCAACAAATCTACCACTATTTGAAGTACGCAGCAATGGCCATAGGGCTCTTTAGCTTCCTAACATCAGTGGCCTACGTCATCAAAGTCAACACGGCCATCTACAAATACAAGTTGCCATTCTACCACCTGAAGGTCTACTTGACCCAGGGCATCATTGGTCTCCACATGTTCATTGTCTGTAGCACATTGATCACATTCATCAAATACAAAATGGATGGCATCTCGTTCTCAAATGGAACAAACAGCCTTGAAATCTACCCCACCATTGCAGTGATCCAATACACCCTGGCTGGAATTTGGCTTCTTTTCACAGCGAAGAACATCGAAAACAGGTTTGTTAAGGAATTGAGAAAGGGACTGTTTACCAGGCCACCAATAACACCAAACAACAATATGCGCCTAGAGACACTCAGCACCCCAATTCTCTACACAATCTTCTGCAACCAGCTTGTAGCAGTCATCAAATGCATCCTGGTCGCATTCATCTGCTTTGGAATGCTTCCAGTTGCCAAACACAACTGTGCTTTCGACAAGTACCTGATGGCACTGATTTGTTACTCATTCTTGAAGAATAGGACATCAGTTGAAATATTCCTGTTCAAAATGTACATTCTGATCACCAGATTGATCAGTAGATTCGTAGGATTGGACAACTACCTGTTTAATAGGAGATTGATCAAGTTTGATAGAAACAGACTGTTCTGGGCGTCAAATAAGCACAAGAAGCAGGGGAATACAGTGAGATACGCAAACAGTCAAAGAGTCGTCACAGTGAGCTTTGATAAACCAGTGAAACCAGCCATGGAAGTCACTGGCTTTGTGAAGCAGTCTTCGCCTGACATGTTCAAATCAACCAATTCAACCATCACAGGCAGGTACGAAATATCAACAACTCGATTTATCAGGTATTTTGGAACAAATCACAAAAGAACCCTGACAATTGTCTACAAACCAAAGTGGACCAGAATGGCAATTCTCATGATAAAAATGGTCTGTCTGCTATCGACAAGGCTGCTCATAAGAGCAACCAAAATGGTAGCATGGCATCTCACAGACCTTGCAATCAGTCGCATTCAGTTCCATCACGTCAAAATGGAGAGAACTGTTCTCTTTTGGCTCATTCATGCACTGATAATTAAGCTTATTCTGTCACCTAAGAAGTCACTCACATCATTCGTAGTGATGGTCTACACCACAATCTGGAACCCAATGGTGCTCACAGTGGCACTGATGTTCACCCAGAACAGGATGATCAAGTTCAGTGAGCTCTTCTACATCTGCTCAGTCACCTCAAGCATCGTACTCCATTGCATCAAGACACTCTGCTGGTTCAACGGGTTCTCCATTCACCGATTCCTCCAGCTAATCGCTATTGGATCCTTCTTGGACTGCATCGTGCTCCTCTTCTACAGCACATTCTGCGTATCGTTCCTGAGACGAGCACCTGAAATTGTAGTGGCCATGTACCTCTCAAACCACTTCATCCAACTTCTTCGTAGAATGTTCACGAAAGACTTCCTAATCAAATTGAAGGACAAATACTATTTAAAGAGCAGAGTGGTGGTGAACTACGACAAATAATGAGCAATTACCCAAATAGGCATTTTGACCTAAATCCTCTTGATTGATGCGTGTATTATGGCCCCTGATTCGATATCCTCATTTCTGCCCTTATAGTCCAGTAGCAGTCCACCAAATGAGCATTTCACGTTGCTATCATCCACTTCATAGACAATTCCACTCATCACATACGCATTCTGCTCCATCTCAGGCATCTCATTCAGATACAGCTTGATTTCAACTTCATCACCCTCAGACAGCTTCAATAGGCCACTGTGGTAGTCAACTGACATCTCCATCTCCGAATTGCGAAGAAACGCCTTTGGAACCAATTCGTACGGTTTACGGTCTATTTTGAAGATGCTTGCAATTATTTCAGTCTGCATAAAATGGGTGTAAAAGAGTCCCCTACAAAATGAACATTTTTAGCCCAAAAATGCTGAAGGAAACACTTGAGAAACTCCAAACAAATGAGGAGAAGGAGAGACTGGTGCTTGGTGTCGTAGAGGAGGAGATCGCCAAAGGAGACTACGACAGAATACTGGAGATGCTGACCAGTCTCCAGGACGACTGGAGTGGCCTAAGCACGGCCAGGTTGACCAAAATATTCAAACAGATATTTGGTACCATTTCCATTGGAACTGACAACTACGAGGGCGTAATTCGCCTTCTAAATGGCCTAATTGACTGGAGTGGCGATAGAATGCTCCTCAAGTCCGACTTGGAATGCAAGCTGATCTACGTCTACCTGACTACCGGAATGTACAAGGAGACACTTGACCTGATCAAGGTGACTGTGAAGAGACTGAAGAAGTTTGAGGACAAGATCAACCTGATCCGCGTCTTCCTGTACGAAAGCAGGGCCTACTACGAGTTGAAGAACCTGAATATGGCAAAGAGTGCCCTGACTGCTGCCAGAGCACTGGCAGTGAGCGTGACAACTCCATCGAGTCTCCAGGCGCAAATTGATCTGCTCAATGGAATGTTTCTGGTTGATGAGAAATACCGTGAATCTGCTACTGGCTACTTCGTAGAGGCGATTGAGGGGTTTCAACTCGACAAAATGCCTGAGAATGCGAAGTTGCCCCTGGTCTACCTGGTTTTGTGCAAAATGCTGGATAACAAGGTGGATGAGCTAAAGGGGCTGATGCAGAACAAGTACGTCAGAAACCTACAGAACGAGAACGAGAATGAGATGCTGCAGGTGCTGATTGAGCTGGCGCAGATCTCCAAACACAGGGACGTGGTGAAGTACAAGGGGATTCTGGCAGACAGAAGTGGGCTGCTTCAGCAGAATCTGTTTATTCTGAAGCACCTCAACCTCCACTACAACGAGCTACTCAACCAGAACATCCTGAAGATCGTGGAGCCGTATTCGCGAGTCAAAATCACGTTCATTGCCTCCAAACTCAACTTCGAGGAGTCGCTGATCGAGGACAAGCTGAGGATGATGATACTCGACAAGGCCATTTACGGGATACTCGATCACAGGACGCAGTCTCTGATACTCTACGAGAAGAAGGAGGATGGAGACGTGGGATTCAGGAAGAATATTGCAATTCTACGAGAATACATGTGCAAGTTGTAGTAAGAAGAAGCTGACTATTTTGGGTTTCTATTCAAGTAGTCCACCTCGACCTTGATGCTTTCGATCTCCTTCTCCAAGTACCCGTTCACTCTCCTAATCATCGCCATCTCCTGCTTCATCTCTTCCTCTACGCTCGCAATGTGCTCCGTGACTGCTTTCTTGCTGCTCTCCTTCATTTTTACCCCATTTGTTGCATAAATTATGGTACTTCGCTCACTGATACAGCACGGTGCTCCACTGCTGGTGCTGCTCTACCTCGTCATCAACAGGGAGAGAGTCATCCTCTTTCCACTTGCCACAGCCACTCTGCTTCTCTGTACTCACATTTCTGCCATTCTAATCTACTTTAGCCTTATTCAGAAACAAACAAAACAGTTTATCTATAAGGATGCTCTAATGGTACTGGTAGTCTATGGATTCCAGGTGAATATTGGCCACATCAACCCAAACATGCTTCTTGGTGACCTAATAATGGCACCATTCTACCTGTTGGACGTAGTATACAATATTAGACTAAGAAAGAACAATAATACGATTATTTATAGGCGAAGAAACAAGGGTGACCTGACGAATGAGAGATTCCTGGTCAGAAAGAGCTTCGTGGCCCAGTGGTTCGTTGCCTGCCTTACGACACTCGTCACTGGTGTTGGACTGCTCCTCATTTCCACCGGAATGTACGGTAGCAGCAGAGTCACCTACAGTTTGGATGGAATGGTCGTGCTGGCCCAGTACATCAACGAGAACAGAATCCGAGTACTTGAGCAGTATCTGGTGGTTGGGATGCTCAGCATCCTCATTGGAATGCTCTGAGAGTTGTTTTGTTTCATTCTGTTATTTTGTTCGTTGATTTGTTTATTCTATGCAAATCTACAAGAATAAGGCAGTTGTGAAGATTGAGCAGCTCTTCAGGAAGAACAGGATGCGCATCCCGTACAGCACGGCTGAGATTGAGACTGATTTGCGATGCAGATCGAGGCAGCTCGGGGCCATGAAGAAGATCCTGAGCATCCAGCAGCAGGGATACGACGTGAGGCCGTTTCATTCAGAGGTGCTGAAACTGTTCTGCTCCTCTGACTACGAGACCAAGATCCTGGTGAACCACTACGTCAAGGCCAACTTCAGTAGAAGCCCAATGCACCAGTTGATCTACGTCAATTCGCTTCTGAGAGACCTAAGAAGCCCAAATTCGAAAATCAGAAAATTGGCCGTAGAAGACAGCATTGCCCTGGGAGACAGCATCACAATCAGCAGATTCATCGAAAGCTACCGCCACATTCTGGGAAGCGAGACCACGGCTGAGAACGTGGCAGTGAAGGCGCTGCTTCTTGGGAAGATGGGTGGAATCTACAGGGTGAACAGGGAGGTGTTTCTGGAAAACAGGCTTGAACAGGAGTTGGTTGGCCACCTCAGGTCGAAGGAGGACGCCCTGGTTCTTGCTGCCCTGGTCTCCCTCTGTGAAATAGAGCGAATTGAGGAGATGGCTCCCACTGATTGCCTCCTTGATCTCCTTGATGACTATTCTGATAGAAATCAGCCTGAATTCATCAGACACATTCTGAAAATAGTCAGCTACAGGGACGTAGGCGGCAGAATGGAGCAGAGACTGAACAGGATGATCTACACCAACGACGTCTGTCTCTTCTACAGCACGAGTGTGATGCTGATCAGGGGTGGAATGGGCCACCTGGCTGCCCAAACAATGGTTGATGTCGGTCTCAGCTTCCTGAATCTCAGACGAGAGCACGTCCAGAACGTCCTTGGTCTTCTCCACTACGTCGTGGCCAAGTTTGGTGCATCGTACTCAAACAGCAGTCTCATTCTGCTCGATTCAGACACCCTGGAAATCAAGTTGATCAAACTGAAATTGATGGCCGATAACTTCGATCAGACTGCCCTGGGTGAAATCAAGCAGCTGATTTACAAGAAGGAGCTGCTGCCTGAGATATTCGGAATCTGCGTCGATAAGGACATTTATTTGCCTGGGATTCTGAGCTACGTCTCTGCCTCTGACTCGAAATCAGTTTCCAGGGTACTCGAAACCATTTTGATCAACAGGGCCAAATTCATCGAGGAGTACTCGATTCCACTCCACAACTGGCAGGAGGATCTTGAACACTTCTTCAGTCGCATTCAGCCTGGAACAGCAGTC